CTGGTGGGGGAGCTGCTCCCCCCTCCTCCCACCCCCTCCCAAGCACCCAAAGGTGCCCAGAGGGGGCGGGAACCCACCTAGTTTTTTATCGTGGTCCCCTAAAAAGGAGGGAAAAAAGGAAAATGAAAATTCCAAAACATCGGTCGGCGCCCAAAAAATTCCCTGCAAACGGGCGCTGATTTTTTTGGGCTGGGGGAGGGAATTTTGCTCACCGGCGTGGGGATCCCAGGATTCCTCTGCGGAAACTCCAACAAAAAAGGAAGAAACACGGATTTCCCTTTCCCACCCCAAATTTTTCCCTTTGCCCCCCCAAGTTTTCCCTTTTCTACCCACAGATTTTCCCTTTCCACCCCAAATTTTCCCTTTCCAACATGAGATTTTCCCTTTTCACCCCAAATTTTCCCTTTTCCACCCCAAATTTACCCTTTGCACCCCCCAGATTTCCCCTTTTCCACCCAAAATTTTCCCTTTTCCACCCAAAATTTTCCCTTTCCAACATGGGGTTTTCCCTTTTCACCCCAAATTTTCCCTTTTCCACCCCAAATTTTCCCTTTCCACCTCACATTTTCCCTTTGCACCCCCCAACCCCTCCAAGAAACCCCAACCCCCCCCCCAAAAGCCCCAAACCGCTTTTGCGCGAGGATGCCAACGCCTCACCGAGCTCAGCTGTCAATTTTCCTTTAAAAACAAGAAAATAAAATTAATTTTAATCCTTGCATTTTCTTCCCTGGGGGGCCCTGGGCAGGTGGGGGGCGTCCTCTGACAGGGGCTGTTACCTCACGCCTCTTAATTCACATTTTTTTTAATTAATTGAATTAATTGACACGATTTTGATGGGAGCAGCCGCTCTCGAGCGGCCCCCGGGATCGCGACGCACAGGAAATAAAATGGGCGCTGAGTGGTGGCGGCGTCCTGGCCTCCTAAAAATAATGGGGAAAAGGAAAGGAATAGAGGGGAATAAACCCCGGGAGGCCCAAATCGGGTGTGGGGAGAGGAGGCCCAAATGGGGTGTGGGGAGAGGCTGCAGGGAGAGGTCCAAATTTCACACACAGGGAAAGGCCCAAATTTTATGCAGGGGGGGGCTGAAATTTGGCGCAGGGAGGGGAGGCCAAAATTGGGTGTGGGGAGAGGAGGCCCAAATTTCATGTGTGGGGCAAGGCCCAAATTTTGCATGGGGAAGGGCCGAAATTTACGTGGGGAAAGGAGGCCCAAATTGGGTGCGGGGAGAGGAGGCCCAAATTCCACACATGGAGGGGCCGAAATTGTGCATGGGAAGGGGCCAAAATTTGGCATGGGGAGAGGCTGAAATTTTATGCGTGGAGAGGTCCAAATTTCGCACATGGGGAAAGGCCCAAATTTCGTGCAGGTAGGGGCTGAAGTTTGGCGCGGAGAGAGGAGGCCCAGATTTGGCGAGGGGAGAGGCCCGAGGCCCAAATTTGGCGCAAGAGAACAAAGCTCTGAGGTCAAATCACGCCAATCAAATGGAACCCAACCAAACTCAGTAATTTGGGCTGGAGCATCTGAGCTCCAGGACCTTTTCCTCTGGGACTCCGTGTAGTTCGGGGCGTATTTTCTCCCCAAAATATTCCAGAAATTTATTTATTGGAATTAATAATTGAACGAAACATAGAATTTGGGGACGGTGAGCACCGGCCCAGCGCATTTGCGGGGCTCCCACTCCCCGCGGAGGATTCATTTTTTCCGAGACGCGCAACCAAACTCACGGATTTCCAACTCCCGGCCCTCTGCGAATGCGAAAAAAAAAGAATTATTAGGAATTATCGCAATTTTTTCCGCAGGATTTCGCCAAACCCGCCTTGCCTCCCGCGCTCCCGTGTTTCCCGGCTGTTATTTCCGCTCAAAGGGGCAGAAATAAACATCGCTGGAAGCGAATCGGCCGGCGGCAGCGCTCGGCACCATCCGTCCGCTGAATTTTTTGGTGGGG